CTTTCCCCACCTCCCCAACGCCCCTCTCTCTCTCTATATGTATAACAAATGGAGAATATACAGTATTATTTAGTGTTATTAAAAAGTGTAAATTGACCTTTTCCATCCAGCTCTTCACCTGAAACTAGTATTAATATTGAATGTCAACTGTAACTTAAAAATAAAAATTAATTAAAAATAAAAATAAATAGTTTAAATTTTATCATGCTTATTTGCATTGTTCTGCTGCTTGCTACTTTCACTAAACATTATGTCTGTGAACTTTTCTGGTGAGTATATGTAAATCTAACTTGTTTTTTTTTCATTGTTGCATAGTATTCTACAGAATAGATAAGCTATACTTTATGTAGTCATATCCCTATTGACATGGTTATTTCCAAGTTTTAGCTAATGTAAAACATGCTATAAAGTACATGGTACAAACCTTCCTCTTGCTACCTTTAATCTATACTAGATTCATATACACACTTAGTTTTGTTTCAGGATTCTCTATTGGGTTCTACTGATCCATTTATTTATAGCTGCATTCACACCATACTTTTAATTTCTACAGTTTTGTGATATGTTTGATATCTGGAATGAAAATAATTTTTTTCCTTTATTTTTTTGTTATTCTTGTATATTTACTTTTTATATGGATTTTAGAATCAGATTACCATACCCACATAGAATCATATTGGCATTGCACTGAGTTTACAGATTTAACTGGAGAGGATTGGAGAATCTTTACATTAATGAGTCTTCTTTTATATGAATAAATGTGATATGGTTCTCCATTTATTTAAATTTTTAAGTCCTTCACTATGTTTCATAATTTTCTCATAAATGTCTTGAACATACTTTGTGTTATTTCTAAATACTTTATAGATTTTGTTGTTACTATTAATAAGATTTTTTTCTTTCATTTTGTAATTATTAAAGGTGTATATGAAAGCTCTTGGTTTTTGTATGAAATAGTGTGTCCAACAACATTACCGAATTCTCTTTTCTTTCTAATAGTTTTTTCATTGATACTTTTGGATTTTGTAAGTAGGCAAAAAGATCATATGCAAATATTGATAGTTTTGTCTCTTAGTCTTCCACCTGTATACTACATATATTTTTCTTGTCAGAATGCATTGGCTAGGACCTCCAGTATAAGACTGAATGATATCAGACATCCTTATCGTATCCCACCTGTTAATGGAATTGCTTCTAAAATTTCATCAAGTATGTTTACTGTGGATTTCTGGCAGTTGTTCTTTATTAAGTTAAATGTGTTTTCTTTAATTCCTACATTTATGAGGCTTTTTAAAAGCAAGAATAGGTATGAAATATTATCATTTTCTTTTTATCTGTAAGTTGGACGTATAGTTTCCTTTTAAATTGTTAATGTATTGAATTGTATTAATAGATTTTTAAAAACTTTCTATTATAAATAAATAGAAACATAAATAACAGTAGAGAGTACAATAAATCCAAATATACCTATGACTCAGTTTCAGTAGCCATCAACATTTTGCCATGCTTGTTTATCCACTTTTGTTTTCACTCCTAAATATTTCAGTATGCATCACAAAAATATTATAGCAAAAAGGACATCTCACATAATCATAATGCAGTCATCACACTAATATTAATCCAGCACATGTTGAGATTTTTCCAATTGTCTAAAAAATGTATTTTACCACTGGAGTTTGTTCTAATCAGGATCCAATCAAGGTCAACTCATTATATTTATAACTCTTAAGTTACTTTTAAGTTTTTAAAAACCTAAAACAGAACACCTCCTCCCTTTTATTTTAATACCATTAGCTTGTTGAAGAAACCAAGCATTTGTCTTATAGACTCTCAGACATTCTGGATTTGGCCGATTCCTTTCTTGATGTGCTGTTTTACCTGTTTCTTTATTGCTTGTATTTCTTCTAGACTGAAGAAATTTAATACTTGATTAGATTCAGATTCTTTATTATTTGGCAAGACTATTTAATGTTTGATACTATGTACTTTTTAAAAATTTTTTTTAAAATTTTTCAATTACAGTTGGCATACAATATTATATTAGTTTCAGGTGTACAATATAGTGATTAGACATATATGTAACTTACAAAGTGATCACCCTGATAAATCTAGTACCCATCTGACACCATATGTAATTATTACAATATTATTGACTATATTTCCTATGCTGTACTTCACATCCCTGTGACTATTTTGTAACTACCAATTTGTACCTCTTAATCTCTTCCCTTTTTTCAACAATCCCCCAAACCCTCTCCCATCTGGCATCTGTCAAAATATTCTTTGTATCTATGAGTCTGTTTCTGTTTTGTTTCTTTGTTTATTTTGTTCTTTAGATTCCACATGTAAGTGAAATCATATGACATTTGTCTTTCTCTGTCCGACTTACTCCACTCAACACAATCCCTTCTAGGTCCATCCATGTTGGTGCATATGGCAAAATTTCATTCTTTTTTATGGCTGAGTAATATTCCATTGTATATATGTACCATCTCTTTTTTATCCATTCATCCCTTGATAGACACCCAGGTTGCCTCCATGTCTCGGCAATTGTAAATAATGTTGCAGTGAACATATGGATGCACATGTCTCTTCAAAATAGTGCTTTAAATTTCTTTGAGTAGTTTCCCAGAAGTGGGATTACTGGGTCCTTCTTTGTCTCTTGTTATAGCTTTTGTTATTATATCTATTTTGACTGGTATAAGTATTGCTACCCCAGCTTTTTGTTGTTTATATCCATTTGCTGAAATATCTTTTTCCATCCCTTTATTTTCAGTTGGTGTGTGTCTTTCGATCTGAAGTGAGTCTCTTGTAGGCAGCATATGTAAGAGTCTTGTTTTTTTATTTATTCAGCCACCCTATGTCTTTTGATTGGAACATTTAATCCAGTTACATTTAAAGTAATTATTGATAGATATGACAGAATGGTACCTCCAAAAAAGGTACAGTGTGATAAGGTTTTATTCAGTCTACATTATTTGGTTGTAATAATGGTAGCTCCCAACCCCAGCTGAACTTAACCAAGTAAGCAATAATTTTCATGAGTAAATATTGACAAGGACAAATACATTTACATAGGTTGTAGGCCCTTGCTTTTTATCACTTTGAATATTTTATGTCCATATTTCTGGCCTACAAAGTTTCTGTTGAGAAATCAGCTGATAGTCTTATGGGAGCTCCCTTGTAGGTAACTAACTGCTTTTCTCTTACTGCTTTTAAGATTATCTTTAACCTTTGGCATAGTAATTATGATGTGTCTTGGTGTGGGCTTCTTTGGGTTCATCTTGTTTGGGACTCTCTGTGTTTCCTGGGCTTGTATGTTCTTTCTTTTCTAGATTAAAGAAGTTTTTAGTCACTATTTCCTCAAATGGGTTTTCATCTCCTTGCTCTCTCTCTTTCTTCTCCTTCTGGTACCTGTATGATGCGAGTGTTGGTATGCTTGATGTTTTCCCAGAGACCCCTGAAACTATCCTTTTTATGGATTCTTTTTTCTTGTTGCTGTTCTGACTGGGTGTTTTCTGCTATTTCTCTTCCAATCTTTCTGCTGATTCGATACTCTGTTTTATCTAATCTACTGTTGATTCCTCCTTAAGGTTTTCTTCATTTCAGTTATTGCATTCTTCATTTCTGACATTTTTAAATGTTTTCTATCTCCATTTTTATGTTTCTTATCTTTTTGTTGAAATTCTCACTGAGATCATTGCGCTTCCTTACGATCAGTGTTCTGAACTCTGCATCTGGTAGATTTCTTGTCTCCATTTCGTTTCATTCTTTTTCTGGACCTTTGTTTTGTTCCTTCATTTAGGACATGTTTCTTTGTCTCTTCATTTTGGGTACCTCCCTGTGTTTTTTTGTTTTTGTTTTTGTTTTTGTTTTTTGGTACGTATTAGGTAAGGCTGCTATGTATCCTGGTCTTAGTAGAGTGGCTTTATGTAGTGGGTGTCCTGTGGGGCCCAGTGGTGCAGTCTCCCTGGTCACTTGAGCTGGGTGTTCCAGGTCTGTCTCCTGTGTGGGTTGTGTGTGCCCTCCTGTAGTAGTTGAGCTTCAGTTACTGTTTGCACATCAGTGGGAGGGATTGGTTAAGACTGGCTGTGACTACAGTGGAGGAGCTGTTGTGCAGGGGCTGACCCTACAGAGTGGGATTCACTTTAGTGGGGGCTCTGGTGCCTGCCCAGTCTGTCCTTTGGGCATGTTGTTTGTGGAGATAACTGGGTGACACTCTGGTGTGGTCTGAAGCTGGTCATCAGGTAAGTTGGTTTTGAGACCTCTTGAGAGGGGTTGTGTTACAGGCCAAGGTCAGCCTCTGCGTGCCCTGCCTGGGGCCACTTGGTACGAGCTACAAAGTGATCTGCAGATGGTTGCCATTTGTGCTGGGCTTAGAGGTGCCTGGGAGAGGATAAGCTGTGAACCAAGACCAGATGCTGCTAGTGCTGGACTTGGGGCTACTCAGCAAGAGGTACGGGGCATACCAAGGCCAGTACACAGTGGCTTATGGTATAGCTGCTTGTTTTAGTTTTGTGAACCCATGAGAGATTTTAGGAATGTCCACAGCATGACACAAGACAGGCTGTTTGTATGGAAAAGAGACTGGAAGCGATTTGGGTGGGGCAGGATCTTGGAATCACGAAGATAGGGTGAAAGGTGTTAGGTTGATGGAGACCCAGATATGGTGGCTGCATGTATCTGCACCCTGGATGGGTGGGGAGGACTCAACAAGGGAAGAATAGCTTCTGCCAGCACCTCTTTCTGGGAGAAAACTGCTCTCCAGTCCTCACCTTGAAGCCAGACAATTCAGTGTCTCTCCTTATGTCCCCGGCGCTTTTTGAGCTGCTTCCTTAACACTGGAGCTCAGAGCGAGTGAGTCTGTCAGCAGTAAGGCTGTGCTTGGGTCCTTTAAGAGGAACGCCTGGGACTTCAGCCACCCTCTGTCTCATTCAGCCACAATCTCGGCTGGTTTTTACAACCAGAAGTAATGGGGACTTCTCTTTCCAAGACTGGAACTCTGGGCCGGGGAGCTCGGTGTGGGGCTAGGACCCCTCACTATTCCAGGGGAACCACCACAGCCTGGATATCTCCCCCGATTTTTAACTGCCACATGTGGGTGTGAGGTCAACCAATTCTGTATCTCTGCCCTTCCTACCAGTCTCAAGGTGGTTCCTTCTGTATCTCCTTAGTTATAGGACTACTGTTCATCTAGACTTCAGGTGACTCCCAATGATGGTTCTGTAGTTTAGTTGTAATTTCGAGGTGGTTGTGGGAGGAGACAAGTACAGCGTTTATCTACTCCGCCATCTTTACCAGAAGCCCCTGTATACTGCCTTTTACATGTCTGTTTTTCTCACTTTTAGTGATACTAAAAGTGGATTGAAACGGTGATAGTCTGATCCTTTCATTGTCAAAGTTCTCTATCATCTTTTAACCTAATGGCTTTACCATTTATTTGATAACTGTTATCTGATTGAATTTTTCATTAAGGATTTCAAAGTAATGATTTTCTGATTCTTTCATTCTCTCTGCAATTATTAGCTAGCATACCTCTGTAAGAAGAACTGTCCCTTATCTACTAGGGCTATTTGGTCAGCCTAAAATACACTTCCTATAGGAAAGACAGGATAAATGCTTAACTCTTTCACTGTAATAGACAATTTTCTAAGTAAGGAGTTGGTGCCCTGTTCCACATTGACAGATCAGTAAATGTCAAAGCTTCCCTCATTCCTAGTATTAACCTATCAGGGTATGAGGTATCTTTTTTAATGTACTTTGAAATTTGAGGGACTAATATTTTATTTAGCAGTTTTGTATCTGTTCAGAAGTGAGACTGCTTATAACATTGATCCTCAACCTGGGGCTGAACCACAACTCCAGGGGGCATTTGGAAATGTCTGGAGGTGCTTTTGGTTTTCACGGTTTATTGTTTGTGTGTGGCCTGTGTGTGTGTGTAGGGGGGGGGGGTTCCTACTGGCATTTAGTAGATGAGGATCAGGGATGCTAAATGAAGAATTATCCCACCAAAAATGCCATTACCACCTCTGTGAAAAATGATGGCCTATAGTTTTCTTGTGCTTCTGTGATTTTGGTATTGGTATTTAGATTATGTATTTTAATATCTACGTTCATAAGTAAGATGAGCCATAATTTCTTTCCCTTTACTTGTCAGTTTTGTTACCAAGTTTATGGCTAACCTTATAGCTATATGGAGTCATTTCCCTTCTTTTACTTTGGTGTGGAAAATTTTGTGTAAAGTTTAAATATTCTGTTTCTAAATGATTTGGTCAAACTCTCCCACACAAGTTTTTGGGACTGGTGACTTTTGAGGTAAATTATTATCATTTCACTTTCATGTATGATTAATTGGTCTATTTAAGTTTTATATTTCTTAGGTCCATTTGGTTATTTATTCTCTTGGAAATTATCTATTTCACCTAGATTTTTAAAACTATTGGCATACAAGTTACCCATAGTATTCTTTTGGTAATTTTTTAAAAATTAAGTTTATTGTGGTAGCATTGGTTAATACAATTATATAATTTTCAGGTGTACATTATCATTTGACATCTGTATATTCTATTGTGTGTTTACCACCCAAAGTCCAGGTTCCTTCAGCTACCATATATTTGATACCCTTTACCCACTTCACCCTCCCCTAAACCCTATATTCGACCCCCTTTACCCAATCTACCTCCCCGCTTCTCCCCTATCCCCCTATGAACCACTAGTGTATAGTCCTCTGGTAACCACTAGCCTATAGTCCATGTCCATGAGTCTCTTAGTTTATTCTGCTTATTTCTTGCTTTTAGGTTTATATCCCATATATATAAGTGATATCATGTGATTTTCAGCTTTTTCAGTCTGGCTTATTTCACTTAGCATGATTATCTTGAGGTCCATCCACGTTGTCGCAAATGGCAGTATTTCATCTCTTCTTATGGCTGGGTAATATTCCATTGTATATATGTACCACAGCTTCTTTAG